AAAGCTATCTTTTAATTAATGTCCTACTTTTATAGAATTAAAAAATATCAAGTATTACGGGAGGAATTAAAGGCGGATTAAAGTCTTTTTTTTTATAATTGTTTAATATAGAATGCAGATCCGAAAATTTTATTATAAAAAATCTCAATTAGTGATTTTTACTATATGACCTGCACTATGTTTGTAAATCAACCAATGTGATACACCCCAACATGTGCAGGTGTTTTTTTAATGCGCAAGTATACTGTAAAAATTTATATAGCTGTGCAAGATTTAGAAAAAACTGCACCAATATGTATAAATGTAAATTTTTTTTTTTTTATAAAAATCATATTTATGCAAGAAAATATTTTTTACTTGCAATAGCACAAGTAATTTTGTGTTCAATTTTAGAATACAGTCAGACCTCTCTAAATGCATAGTGTCGGAACAATAGTAAAAATTGAGAAAATATGCATTTAAAGAGGTTATGCATTTAGGGAGGTAAAAATCTATGAGTATTATGCTAGTTGGGCCCAAGAAAAGACATGCGTTTTTCATATATGGAGGCGTCATAGCAAAAAAAACGGCTTCGGGACGATTATGTGATTTTGAGATAATCATCACCAAAATTGGTATATGATTATCACATATCGATATATAATAAAATCTCAATTGTTTTGCTGTGGGTCCCCCATATATGCATTTAGGGAGGTTGCACTTAGAGAGGTCCGACTGTATAAATAAATTAACTTAGTATATGTTGAATAAACTACAGTATCTATCATTATTATTGTGCCAACTCATTTAAAATTATTAAACCATTATACTGTATTTCGAATTCTGTAAATAATAATCACAAATTTTGGTGTAAGCATTAGAGTTAATTTGATTGTAATTTAAATAGCAGAACCGATTACTCATAACTCTGGTCAAATTTGCCGATCGTTTGGCCAAGTTCAAAATGATTTGATTCTGAATCTGGCCAATTAATCTGCAAATTTGACTAGAGTTATAAGTAATCGGTTCTACAATTTAGATCACAATCAAAATTAGCCTTTAATTTCATTTATCAAGTATCAAAATTTTTATCAAATAAATACGTATATCAATTATGTGAATTAATGTGTGATCTATATACTGTAAAACAGTTTTCCTTGATTTTCTTCGTAACTTTAATAAGGTACCAGCCTCTAAAAGTATGATTTACCCAAAAGCTCTCGCTTAGACGCATCTAATAAAACACTTTTTGAATCACGAATTTGCAAACCTGAAAAGAATGCGGCGAAAGTAGACAAAATAATGGCTTATGTTTAAGAGTATGTTATTTTATAAGGAGAAGTTCGCTTCTTATGTTTTTGATACCATTTAGTTCGTAGAAACTTCAGCAATAATTTGGTCTTAGGGAACGTATCATACTTCAACTAAGCTTTTAGGTGAAATTTTTAAAAATGTAATGTCGATTTGATTAATTTAAGAAATCATATGACAAAATTTTAGATGCGACATTGGGTGCCTGATAGCGATAGGATTTTATGTATCTATTTTATCAAAAAGGAAATGTGGAGGATCATAACAGATCAAACCATAACAAAAAAAGTAAGGATCGGGGATCTATTGCATAAAATTTTATATAGGGTTAACAAAAATGTGCCTGAAAAACATTCATATCCAGTTTGCATATCGAATAATTATTTCACCGCATATCTGTATATAGCAAAATAGATCGGCCAAGGTTATAAATATCAAAGTTAATCTCTATTATTTTAACATTCTTTTATATCATCAATCAAGTACGTAAATAGTATGCTAAATATATTTATCATAACAATAGATATATATTTCGAATCTTACATCTCTTTAAATCTTCCGCTCTTGGTCTTGCGTAGTTATATAGCCAATTAAGTCAATAATCAACCTTTTTCCGTTTAAATATTCAGTTCCTGGTGATAATGTCGGGAATGTCTTCAAATAGAGTAGTCACGATTGGTATTGGGTAAATTACTTTTTTTTCTTTGAGGAGTAAATCGTTTGATTAGTTGATTTTCTAATTTGTATCTTAATTATTTATCATAGTGGTGCATCATGTTCTGGTAAAACGGTATGTACTAAAAAAAATGATACATCTAAATCTAAAGATTAAAGTGACTATAAACTTGTGTGATTTCGTTATATTAAAAAAATAAAGACTTTAGCTAAATGGCTTTTAAAAGTTTTACCGAATTGCACATTATTTTATCAAGATGATTTCTTTAAGGTATTTTTTTTAAGTAGTTGGAAATTGTTTCATTCATTTTAATTTATTATATAATATGCTCTAATTTGTTTGCTTTTTAACTAATTTACCAACAGTTCCAAAAGGATCTTCCAATTGATCCATCAACAAAATATATGAATTGGGATTGTCCTGAATCATTAAACTTACCATTATTCATATCTACTCTAAAAAACCTTCATCAAACCGGCTCATTGCCAACAACATTCATATCTAATGAAGTACAGAATATTTATAAAGATGTTAAAGGGAATGGATTAGATCAGCTGGTCAAACGATTGTCATTGAGAATTAATAAGGTATTAAATGCATCAACAGGAGGTGATAATAAAAACAATGAATGGTATTTCGTATTGGTAGATGGATTTTTATTATACTATGACCCTGAGGTTGTAGAAGAATTAGATATCAAATTGTTTGTTAAGGCAGATCGTGAAACTTTAAAAAAACGAAGAGAAGAACGGGATGAATATTTTACAGTTGAAGGTATTCTTCTATTTTTCTTTATTTTTCTATTATTATTTTTGTTTTCAGTTTTTAATCTTGCAATACTATTTTAAATCTATCTTCTTTTTTTAAAACAAGGATGCTTTATAGAACCCCCAGATTATTTTGATAAAATAGTTTGGCCAAATTATGTTGAGTTTCACAAGCATTTATCTATTAAAGGACAATCATCCGGTTTGATAGATGGTGTAAAAAGTGGATGGAAGGTTATTGAAGATTTGGTCGTTTTGGATACAAATAAGGAAGATGATTTTGGAGAAAACCTTGAGAAAGCTGTTGAAATTGTGATAAAATTTATTGAAAAAAAATTTGCATAGTATAATTATAATCGTATTGTTAATATATATTTTCAACCGGTTTTTTTGAAATTATTCATTTCGACATGGTCGTACATTCCACTCACTAATTAATTAATAACATAAAGTATTTTATAAGAAAAGGGAGCCAGGTTAAGGGGATAATTAAAAGCTTCCTAACTCAAACTTTGCAAGAAACTTTTATTATTATGACGGAACGACAGCTTCGTAGCAAAATTATGATAAGTGATTTTTAAAAAAATCCTATTTTCATATTTTTACACTCGATTAGTAAGGAGTAGGGCTGTTAATAGTTCCTTCCGGTCCATCCTGGCCTGGACTGAATAAGACCGATTACGTATTAGGCATTTTCCCAAATACGATTTGAATTGAGTGTACGCATTATGCATCAAACTTGAAACTATTACCGCATAAAAAGTTTTCAATCTTAAAGAGTGTAAACATCACTAACCTAGATTTTACTAATTTTCCTCAAAATTTCTTTTGGCTGGGACTATTCGCATATCACCTTTTTATAATATGATATCTTAATTGGAATTAGGGATAGGATTAGTGGGCAACATTATACCAAAATTTTGCAAGGAATTTTTTTTTGTTAATATACAAAACGTGGATTCACACTGCTCTTGCTTTCTGATTGGCTAGGATCATGTCACGTTATTAAGGATCGTCGATTTTATCCAATCAAAAATGCGGTTTACCGATGACCAATAGAAGCTTGGGGTAAAATTAGTAAACGCCGTACGTACAAGAATAGCCAGAATTATGTCATAATTGTTGTACACTTTCTCACGAATTAATTACATCATAATTGCGTATTACCCTTTTGATTTCAGGTTTACTAACCGGTATGTAAAAAAAAGATCCAATTTTGATTAATATAGAAATGATCATCAAATCCTTCGATTGATTATCAGACCAGTAAAAATTACCAAATATCTCAAAGACGTCCAGAAACCAAAATAAAAATACAGCTATAATATAATATTACATCGTAACTTATGCTTCTAAGGATCCTTACACTCTGTTCTGGCATTAAGTACTGAGCATATAAAGATTCACACAAAGCTTTTATTTCTCATACCCGGGTTGGTAAAAGCAACTGAACAGTGACCTTTTTTTAAACTATTGATCATCACTTAACGTTTATACCAGCATTACGTAGATATAATAAATAATTATAGAAGGTCAATATTAGCAAAGATAGTAAAATAGGTCACTGTTCAGTTACTTTTCACCAACCCGGTATAACTAGGATTACGAACGGTTACGATTATTCATAGCCAATTTGCTAAGTACTATGATTTGTTATTTTGGAGCTTTTAATTAAAGTTTTTCAAAATGTATTCTCAAGACTTTAATTAAAAGCTCAAAAATAAAAAATCATCTCAGCATTTAGCAAATTGACTATGAATAATCGTAACCGTTCGTAACCGAACCCATCCCTACATATAACATCCCCCAGATTTAAGAAAAAGATGTTGATCTAGTTTCAAAAAAGTCACCGGTTATACCTATTAATACCAATTAGCTATTAAAGGCCCAACAAAATAAAAACTAAAATAGTGATACGAATACACATAATTATAACTGAGTTAAAGAGTTAAGATAAATAAAGTTTATCATTAATTATGCAAATTAGTTATAATTAAGGTAGAATTAAATAATGTGATCCAGCAAAATGTCTGGGTGATGTAATCTGCTTTTTTGCCGGCAATTTCTTTTTTAATCGGAAGGTTCAAACATAATGGCCAATAAAAATTTTCATAAGTAATATAAAATTTTCGACTGAAGAAAAATTCGAGTCGAAATTGTCTTACGTAAGCGGAATCTCCGGCATTTTACAATAGGTTTTGTGCTCTGATTCAGAATGTTCAGATTTTGGTTTCGAACAAAATTAATGATGTATTTATTTCTAAATAAGTGATATATCAATTCTTTTTTTCGAACAAGTAAATTCTGAATCGCTCTAAATAAATTGCAACCTATTTTAAATTTCAAATTATAAATAATCATTATGCTGTGCTTGAAGTTGGCGTCTTTTAAAGTTGCATTAACTGAAACTAGTCTCTGAGATGACCGGTAAGTTTTTCTGGTTAGTAATTTTAGATAGGATGTTGCAACCTAAGATATATGAAGTTGCAACTTTAAGCACGACAGTAATTATATTCAGAAAAATTCAATGCAAGATAAGATAAAATAAGCAAGATAGAGGCATGCACGAAATTAGGAAATTTTAAAAAAACCTCACAAAATTGCGGGCCTGATATATCATAAATAGGTTTAGTAAAATGTGGGCTGAACTTTAAAAAAACATTTTATTTTGCGGGCCGGCAAAGCACAAATTTTAGGCCCGTGCAGGTCTCTATGGAAAGATTGTAGAAAAAGGAACCTAGTGATATATTCGTGCTCATCGTATACTGATTAATCATTCGGCCTAAGTTAGGGTTAGGGTTAGGTAACAATATAGTTTAAGCCAATTTGTTAATGCAAGTAGCACGTCTGAAATCTGTGACAGGTTATGTCGATCATTGCTTGTTGTAGCCAATAATATCACAAGATCATGTGTAACTTAAAAAATCCGAAAAACAGAAAAATCGTAAATAACTCAAGATTTTACTATGATAACCACAGTTTGACTTCTAAATACAAGTTTTCAGCACGAAATTTTAGTTATAGAAGTACATTTAAATATCGAATATCAAGTAAATTAAAGACTGTGCTTAATTCTAATCTGCACGCTCTTTCGATTTGGTGATCGACATAACCTGTCACAGATTTCAGACGTGCATGCAAGTAAACAAATGACGTTATTGTATAATTTCACATGATGTGATAATCAATGGGTTCCTTGATCCGCAAGATTTATTTCAGATGTTTTAACAAACTTTGTAAACAAGATTAGAATGAGTAGGAAAAAATCACTAAGGCGAATAGCTATGGCTAGAAATTACTAATTATTGCTATGATTTTTCACTACAACAAAGATAATGATGAAATAATAAAATGAATTCAATGAAACATATTGCATTTTTCACATTGGTCTGTGAAGTTGCTGGCTTATAGCTTTAACATTTTGACATTTGGTAATAAAATTTCACTTCAATAATAATAAAAGTATACTAAATGATGTTAACGCAACTTAGTAAACCGATTGCTCAGTTTAGGTCTAGAAAATTCCTGCATGTGGATTTTATTTGGATTGTTTGAATTGCTTGTGGCAATAGAAACGCCTTGCAGCAGCAATTGTGAACTAGAGGTAACTATTAAATAATTATAAAAAGTTACGCCAAATATGCCGTAACTTTTTATAGATATTTTATAGTTACATACGTTATGGCATCATTGGGACGATTCGCCTGCACCTCTATTGTGAACTGCCGCTGGCGCTGTTATTGTGTTTTAAGATCAAACCTTATTACTTTATATAGGTTCGTCTTTGAAGTTGCATTAGTTTAAGTGCAACTTTAGGCAATTACTTGTATACGTACGTACGTACATCTAAATCATGCTTTTGAGCACAACTAATTAAAAACTTTAAAACGGACGAACTTAATTATATAATGTATTAGTAATAAAATATTCCGGTCCTTTTCGTTTCCGCTTGTACACATATGGATCAGGGTATTTTTACTAAATACCCCGTGATCTTAATATAATGATCAGAGTATTTGATAAAATTACAATATCTAAAGCTTCATGAACTAAAAACTTTAAAATGCAATTAACAAATAAATGTGATTATATAAATAAGGGCATTCAGAGTTCAAGCGAAATTAAATAAATTATTTAAATACAAGAAAAACCATCTATTTTACCTAAAATAGATTACTCAAAGCTTAATTTTGAAACTCCGCCATTAGAAAAATAACAATTTCACACATTCAAAATAATATATAAAATCATACCTAAAAACATATGGAGTGCCGCATTGCTGGAATTTATGGATCTCTTCGTAGAGATAGTTGTAATAAACAATTAATTCTTCGAGCTCAGCAATTATGTGCTGAACATGTACCTGAAGCTCGGATTGATATAATCGATTGGAGTCAACTACCTGTTTTTAATCAGGTAACTTATAATGTATTGTTAAATACGGTTTTTCTTAGATCTCTTACGATATGGGTGACTAGCGCAATGCCGTAATCGGCATTTTTGCCGTAATTCATTGTAATTACGACCAATTACGATATTGCGCTCACACCTCTATGGGTGACCATAATCTATAATCAATTTATTAATATATTTTATTAAAAAGATCATTTATACTGCTTTTTCTTCTATTTTACATAATTTAATAGGATTTGGAAGAAGATCCGCCTAAATCGGTTCTTAAATTTAAAGAAATCGGAAATTCTGATGCAATTCTTTTCTCTACGCCCCGTAAGAATAAAAGCATTAAAGCTGGTTTCACAAATTCTGTAACGACTAAAAACAAAAATTTCACGATGGCTAAATTGATATCACCAATACAAAATTATCGTTATGAAGCCAGCTGTAAATAAACATGTGAGGCTTTCACCGACGATTAATCCTCTTACATATATCGCCAAGTGCATTAACAAATAACCAATTTATTAGCTAATGTTTAACACAAATAATTTAGTGTCTTTTTAAAAGTTAGGGTGAGTGCGTGATTGTTTCTTCATTTTATAATAGAAATCGTCGGTGAATAAATAATTGCTCGAAAATTTAATTTTAATTAATACAACAATAACGAATTATAGAATACAGTTTGAGTGTTCCAGGTAGATAAATTATTCAAATTATTCAACCTTTCAAAATTTAAATATTTAAATCATCCCGACCAGCTCCATCCACATAACTTTCTTAATGTATTTATTTCTATTAGTAATATCTGTTAATCCTAAATGATTGAGTATATACCTTGGTCATATTATTTTTGAATAAATACATGCAAGTCTATTATGTGGATAGCAAGGGATGAAAATGGTATATCCTGAATAATGAAAATGATTGGACATAAGTTATACCTTTCCTGTAATATTCTGCTACGTAAATTATCCTAGATATAACTATTACTTAGCCTTGCCTTCACTTATTTTTATGCTGCGATATTAATTACATAATATCAAGGTCCTTTAAAAAACGCAATCGATTGAGCAAGTAGAACAGGAATTGGTAATCGTGGTGATGTTTTCTCCGAAAAACCTGCCGCCGTAATTAGTACTTGTTCTTCAGGAACCGGTTCTGTTCAAACAGTATTAAAACAAATTTTGACTGCCCTGAACATGATAACCGTTGACACGTAAGTTTGGCCGTTCAAAGTTGAATAGTTGTTTAACATTATCCCCCCTCTCGGTTAGCTGTCCCCCGGAAATTAAACAAGCCAATCACAATGCAGCAATGCAGGATAATCTTCAATAATCATGTGATTAAGGTTGACCAATGATATTTAATCAAATATTCTGTGTTGTATATGTGTTTGTTTAAATTCTCCCCCCTTCGAGCCTGGGCTCAAAATGTTGACGTTAAACAACTAATCAACTTTGAACAGCCTTTTCTCAAAATAAGCAAATATGGTTATTATTAAAAAATTTTCTTCAATTAGTTAATGTTTTTTTCTAATAATAGACCATCTATAATGTTAAATGGGGCTTATAGAACATTTAAAGAGGATGGTAGTTTGAAAAGTAAAGTAATTGAAGAAAAAATTGTAAAAATTTTAAAAGATCTTGTGATTTTAAACAAACGTTTAAAAGACAAGTTTTAAGGCCATGTAAGTTATTTTCGTTGTGCATTAACTACAAACACAAATATTACAAAAATTCGATAATTTGTTTTTATAAATATTTGTTTAAATGTGTGTAACAAGTTTATTGTTTTTAACAATTTTAATAAAATACAATTTATAAATTAATATCTAAAATTAATGTACGGAAGGAGCGAGACGAACAATAAAAAACTTTCCGCACTTTAAAAATTAACAATATGTGCGCCTTTGCGCAAATACATTTTAAAATTATGGATGAAACGCGCACACTAAATTTTTAAATTCATATATGGGTCTTTGCCTTGAAAATCACCTTCCGACTAGGGATGGCAGCGGTCGGTCATGGTCGGTTACGGTCAATAACCGCCCAGTTACCGACCGACCGCAGTTATAACTGACGGTTAATGACCGACCGACCGACCGACTGACCAATTAACTAGCTAGTAACCTTTTTAAAATATATGAAAATGTTATATATTTAAAATTAACAGTTTATACA